TGGCCTGAACTCACAGAGATTTGCCTGTCTCTGGCATCCAGTGCTGGATCCAAAGGCATGTGCCACCTCACCCAGCTTAGCCTAATTTAAATGAAGAATTCAGTATTTTCTCCAAATAGCCAGTTATCAATCTCCACCTATTCACTGAGCCACCAACCAATACTTACCTGTCCTGCCCCCTTTAACTCCCAGACCCCTCCCACCACACAGGGGTCTGCACTGCAATGTTTTCTGCCAGCATCAAACTTTAGACTATTCTTCTTTCTGTCTTTGGTTTTTGTTGGTTTTGTTTTTGAGGCAGAGTCTCACCATGTAGCCCAGGCTGGCTTTGAACTTATGATCCTCCTCCTGCTTCAGCCTTCTGGGTGCTGAGACTGACAGTCATGTACCACCACACTTGGCTACAACTTAGCTTTAGAGTTCACAAGTCCTTCTTTCTTTTCTCCCAGAAAAATCTTTTTTCTTTAAATTTTTTAACACAGGGTTTCTCTGTGTAGCTCTGGCTGTCCTGGAACTTATTCTGTAGATCAGGCTGGTCTGGAACTGAGAGATCCACTTGTCTCTGCATCCATAGTACTAGGATTAAAGGTGTGGGTCACTACTGCCCAGCTTCCCAACACAGTCTTTTTTTTTCCCCCTTCAGTTTTTTGAGACAGGGTTTCTCTGTATAGCTTTGGTGCCTGTCCTGGAACTCACTTGGTAGCCCAGACTGGCCTCGAACTCACAGAGATCCACCTGCCTCTGCCTCCCGAGTGCTGGGTATAAAGGCATGCTCCACCACCACCCGGCACAATCTTAATTATGAGTATTTTCCTAGTTGCCCGTTAGACTAAATTTGTAAAAATTAAGATTTTTTTATTTTAATTAAACACAGATCAAGATTTTGCACACAGTGAGTCAGATGTGAATCTGCTGCTTCCACAGATCTCTGCAGCTGGCTCTCCACGCCAAGTGGGATCTTTCAGGACTCAGCTGAGCAACTTCACCTCTGGCTTTTTTTTGGTTTTTTAAACAGGGGTGAGGCCATAGACAGGAGGCCATGTTTGTGATGAATTTGAGACAAGGTCTTCTGTAGCCCAGCTGGCTGCAAACTCACTCTGCAGCTGAGGATGATCTTCAGCTTATGCCAGGGTTACATATGGGCAGCTCCATGACTGAACCGAGGGCTCCCTGCATGGTAGGCAAACACTGTATCACCTGAGCTAACTATGCACAGCCTCAGTCACACTTGTCTGAATCGGTCAATCCCTGTCTTAGACACCACCCCCCTGCCCCCGAAAAAAGCCTCAATGTGGATGTAGATGACTTCTCTACCAACCTACAAAATGTTACTTGGCCAAGCAAGCATGCTACACCTTACACCTTACACATTTGCCCCAGTGTAACCACTGCTCAGGGGCCTGCCAGGTTAGAGAGACTCCATGGGCTGGCCAAGGCACCCCAACGGTGTTTCTATGGGATCAAGTTGTCTGACACCACGACACGGCAGGAACTTAACTGTTTCCTTCCTTCCACATGGCACCCACACCATCCTGCATCCCTAGGCAGCTGAAAAGGCAAAGGAAGACAGGTCCTGGGACAAAGGCAGGGCCCGAAGGCCCCAGGCCCTGGGAGCAGCAGCACAGTGAATGTGGGGTGAGCTGGCCAGCACATCTCCAAATAACCTCTCCTCACACAGTTCTCTCCTGGACCAGAAGGTAAGAGGGTCCCTCCTGTGTGCCACTCAAGCAGAAACCTCCAGGTCCCACACAAGGCAGGAACAGGCTCCTGTTCTTTACGTTCCTAAGCAAACTCAACCTGGGGACAGAACAGTCAGATGTCCTGATTTTCGGATGATCATCAGACTGTGTGCAACACCAGCACCTGCTGACGGGCATGAGCATCCCAAAGATGTATTCGGGCAGTAGTGGCCAAGACAAAGAGTTTGCTTGCTATTGGGGCAGAAACTCTGCTCCTGTTAAAGCTCACGCCTGGGTACCAGATGCAATCTCCTGCTGACATCACTGCGTGCAACAGCGGCAATCCAGGACTGCAGAACTTCGCATTATCCTTCTGCCCATTTGTTCCTCTGCCTGGGTCTCCTCTGGTCTTCAGAGCACACCATAGAGCAGTGGATCGGAAGGGGGTGGGGATGAGGGGAGGACAGTGAGAAGGGACAAAGCCCTCTCAAGCCTGGCCTGAGGGGAGGACAGTGAGAAGGGACAAAGCCCTCCCAAGCCTGGCCTGAGGGGAGGACAGTGAGAAGGGACAAAGCCCTCCCAAGCCTGGCCCGCGGCACTTGCTCCCATCTTAACCTCCAGTCCTTCTGACCAGAAAAAGCAGAAGGGGGCTTAAGCTGGTGAACCGCAGGCGCTTACATGACCAACGGAAGCAGAAGACTTCCCTAAACTTTCTCTGGAATGAGGGCGCTCTCGTTACTCCACCGGGGAAGAGGCACCATGACCTCTCACTCCTGGTTTGGAGGAGGCTGCTCCATGCCATCTGGAACTCAGGCACACCCTGGCCTCTTCTTGCTCCAGGGAAGCACAGCCCTCCAGTCTCTGAGGAAGAGGTGGGGACAGGCCCTCTATGGGACTTGACCTGAGACTCCAGCGTCTGTCGTTTCCAAGGTGACAAGGAAGTTGAGTGCACTTGATGTGGCTGCTGACATCTCTTCCTCCTCACAGAGGGACCCAGGTGATTGTTGTTCCTCATGCATCTGGCCAGCAGGAGCCAGGTCAGCCCTCAACCTGCCTTGGGGATGCTAACTGGTTGACACTTGTCGAACCCCCCCCCCCAAATCCTGCTCTAAATCTCTTCAGGTCAGAAGCCAGCCTCTCTCCTTTACTGGAGAGCTGGGGAAAGGCAGAGACTGGTCTGTAGAAAGCAAAGCTCAACCATGTGGAAAAAATATTCTGTTCCTTGTCCAGAGGAAGAAGCAAAATCAAACTGAGGCTCCTTTGTGTCCACATCCTTCTTCAAATCTAAGTTTGTCGTATTCTGACGCTTTCTTCACCAGGAGGCCTTGATCTCCCTGAGAGCACTGCAAAGTTTTATGTCATGTCTACTCTTCCAGGAGGATCCAAAGGTTTACTCTTCTCAGGGGAATTTATAGCCCAAAAAACCACAGAGCCGCTGACGTAAGCTTCTGATCACAGACTCTCGGTGAGGACTCAGACCAAAGTGCTCTTCCTTGGGCCTTCAGCAGGCCAAAGACTTGCTTCTCGGGACCTCCACAGGTCCCTGGTTGGAAGCATGTCCTCTAACGACAGTCACGAGGACCTTTAGACAGTTTAAACTCACTTCCCAGCAGCCCTGGCCTGGCACTAAGCGTGTTCCTTCAGCAAAGAGAGTCCAACACAGAGACTCTGTTCCAAAGCAAAGGCCAGTGGCAGACACACCCAGAGCAAGCACGAGCCGTCCTAGCTGGGGGGAGGAGGGCAGCTGAGAAAGGGTCCCACGCACTTCAAAATTTCCACATGACTTGGCCCACTGCAAAACAAGGCGGAGCGTTTAACTGTCTCTAACTCACATCAGCTACAGGAGTCCCTGTTTTCCTAAACAAGCTGCAGAGGACCACCTGGGGAGGGTAATGACAGAGCACCACTAGAAAAGCAATCGGGACATCTGACTCAGTCCCCAGATGCTTAGTCACAGATCAAGGTCACCCTGTGATCCAGGTCAAATGTGCCCTGCATGTATGGTACGCTTAAACCAAGGTGTGTTTTCACTTAGGACCTAAGGGGGCAGAACGTCCAGAAATGAAGAAGTGGGCATCAGAGGCCTCTCCCGTGAACAGTGATACCTTAATTTTGCTGAGTTTCATCTGGATTTTCTTTGACACCAGATCAGACCAGTATTTCTCGCCTAAGAAGTCCCAAAATATTCTTCCAAGCAAGGCATTCACCCAGGCTTCTTGCTCTTCCTCCTCAGAGGGTGGGGCCTCCGGCAACTGGCAAAAGAAGAGAGACTAAATTAGCCGTCGGACAACTGGAGACTCAGACAGGTGCTTATTTTCATAAAGCCTCCCAAGGCCCCTCCTGTGGAAACGAACACGTGACGAGCATCTTCCCTATAAATTACAAGTCCCACAGCGTGCTGGAGAACGAGGAGGGGGAGAAAGGAAGCTGGCTGTCACAGCTGTAACCTTCCTTTTGTCTGCTTTCTGCCCCTGCCAGTCCTCCCAGGATGCAGCTGACACCCCCAGCACGAGCTCAGACAGCCCTGCCCGTGCCTCCCCTCTCCACTAACTTGATGGCAACGAGCTGTCTATCGAAGCCCGCCTATCCTGAGCTATCTATCGAAGCCTGCCTATCCTGAGCTATCAAAGCCCGCCTATCCTGAGCTATCAAAGCCCGCCTATCCTGAGCTATCTATGGAAGCCCGCCTATCCTGAGCTGTCTATCGAAGCCTGCCTATCCTGAGCTGTCTATCAAAGCCCGCCTATCCTGAGCTGTCTATCGAAGCCTGCCTATCCTGAGCTGTCTATCAAAGCCTGCCTATCCTGAGCTGTTTATTGAAGCCCGCCTATCCTGAGCTGTCTATTGAAGCCTGCCTATCCTGAGCTATCTATCAAAGCCTGCCTATCCTGAGCTGTCTATCAAAGCCCGCCTATCCTGAGCTATCTATCGAAGCCCGCCTATCCTGAGCTATCAAAGCCCGCCTATCCTGAGCTATCTATTGAAGCCCGCCTATCCTGAGCTGTCTATTGAAGCCCGCCTATCCTGAGCTGTCTATCAAAGCCCGCCTATCCTGAGCTGTCTATCAAAGCCTGCCTATCCTGAGCTGTCTATCAAAGCCTGCCTATCCTGAGCTATCTATCAAAGCCTGCCTATCCTGAGCTGTCTATCGAAGCCCGCCTATCCTGAGCTATCTATTGAAGCCTGCCTATCCTGAGCTATCTGTAGAAGCCCGCCTATCCTGAGCTGTCTATCAAAGCCTGCCTATCCTGAGCTGTCTATCAAAGCCTGCCTATCCTGAGCTGTCTAT